GATATACTTTCATTATAATATATAATACTTATATCTATTTAATAAAAACTCACTGACTCAAGAAGTTATCTTAATACTTAAAAAAAATAAAAAAAAAAATATTTCTATAAGTATAAGAAGTATATCTTAGCTCAAGGCATACTTGTATATGAGTGTTTTAATTTTTTTTCTACTTAATTATTGTTTTTATATTTATAATTAGTCTATTATCACATAAGTATAAAAGGGCATGCCTAATTTTTAAAGCATGTTCCAAACTCTATACACAATAAATTACTCCTCTAAGTTTTATATTGCAAAATGTATATTTAAAGATAGTGAGTATTTAAAAGAATTAAAAATTAATAATTATTATTATTTGAGATATGTACTTAGAAGAAACTTTATTAAAAAATAAAATACTATAAAATAACAAATAAAAATACTAGATTTTAATACTATTTTTAATTGTTAAAATTTCATAGATACTAAAAAAAAAATTATAAACATTATCACTATTTTTAAAAGGGAATTGCTATTCACACCATGGTTACACTAAAGATCATCTCGATTTTGTCACTTTTTTGTTTATAAATTTTTCAAAAATTTAATTAAAGATATTTAGGCAACTATTTGATTAAAATCAATAAACTTTTTTTATTTAAATTCTACAGTTCTATAGAATCTAAATAAAAAAAAATTAATCGATTTTAGCCATGTGGTTGCCGAGATATCTTCAATCAAAGTTTTGAAAAATTTCAAAACATCTATATCACTTGATATTACTATAACTATGCCGATATTTATTCTAAAACTTTGATTGAAGTTATCTTAATACCCACTTGACCAAAATCGATGAACTTTTTTTTATTTGAATTTTGCAAATCTATAGAATTCAAATAAAAAAAAAGTTCATTGATTTTGGTCAAGTGGGTACTGAGATATATTTGATTAAAGTTTTAGAAAATTTTAAAACGTCTAATATTAGTTAATATTACTATAGCTATGCTAATATTTATTCCATAACTTTGATCGAAGATATCTTGGCAACCACTTGACCAAAATTGATAAACTTTTTTTTATTTAAATTCTACAGATATATAGACTTCAAATAAAAAAAAGTTCATCAATTTTGGTCAAGTGGTTGCCGAGATATATTTGACTAAAGTTTTAGAAAATTTTAAAATGTCTATATTAGTTGATATTACTATAGCTGTGCTGATATTTATTCCATAACTTTGATCGAAGATATCTTGGCAACCACTTAACCAAAATTGATAAACTTTTTTTTATTTGAATTCTACAGATATATAGACTTCAAATAAAAAACGTTTATCAATTTTGGTCATGTAGTTGCTAAGATATCTTCGATCAAAGTTTTGGAATAAATATTGGCGCAGCTATAATAATATCAAGTAATATAGATATTTTAAAATTTTTCAAAAATTTGATCAAAGATATCTCGGCAACCACTTGACCAAAATTAATGAACTTTTTTTATTTGAGTTCTACAGATTTGCAGAATTCAAATAAAAAAAGTTCATCGATTTTGGTCAAGTGAGTACTGAGATATATTCTATCAAAGTTTTGGAATAAATATCGGCATAGCTATAATAATATCAAGTGATATAGACATTTTGAAATTTTCTAAAACTTTGATCGAAGATATCTCAGCAACCACATAGCCAAAATTTATAAAATTTTTTTTATTTGGATTTTATAGAACTGTAAAATTCAAATAAAAAAAAGTTTATTGATTTTAATCAAATAGTTGTCTAAATATCTTTAATCAAATTTATAAAAAATTTATAAACAAAAAAGTGACAAAATCAAGATGATCTTTAGTGTAACCATGGTGTGAATAGCAAAAAAACCATAATTCTCTTTTTAAAATAGTTAAAAATAGCAAATAAAATTTTTTTTGGTGTATACTCATACTTATATATTTAATTATCTTAGCATGTTTGTTAAAGATTAATGTTTGATTTTATTGGAACAATTATATAAAATTAGATATCAATCTTCAATTAAACATGCTAAGATAATCAAGTATACAAGTATATATCAAAAAAAAATTATTTGCTATTTCAATTATTTTGAAAATAGCGATAATTTAAAATAATACATATCACTTTCGATATAACCTAGTACCTTGGATACATAGTGAGAAATTTTTTAAAATCTGCTTTATCATGAGTTTTATTAGTAAATCCATTATATTAAATAGTATTTATTATAATGTGGATCTAAATCTGATCCATTATATCGAGATTTTACTTAGTCTTCATTATATCAAGAGTCTATTATATCAAGAGTGACGTGTATTATCAAATATTAATAAAATAATATCTCAACATATTTTTGTTTTCAAAATAGTTGAAAATAATAAAAAAAATATTTTTTTAGATATACACATATATACAATTATTTATAAAAATCTATATTATATAACTTTTGTATATTTTATACACCTCTTGTATAACTATGCATAGTTATGCATATTTGTACATATTTATATATAAATATACACAATTATACAAGAGTATTCAAAATATATATACAGTCGATACCAGTGTGTGAAATTCAATTTTGATTTTATGTTCTCACTGAGAACATTTTTCTAGTCCTCAACGTTCTCAAAAATTTTTCAATGTTCTCAATATAGAGAAATTAAATTTGTATAATATCAAAAAAATTTATTTAATGTTCTCACATAGAGAACATATTTTAATGAATTATGTTCTTAAAATTTTATTAGTGTTCTCAGAGAACATTGAGAACATTGAATTTCACACACTGGTCGATACTGTCTAAATACATACTGTATACTGTCTAAATGCATAATTTTTAAAGAAATTTATTAGTAATATGCATTTAGACAGTTGATTTTTTGGTATTTGATTGGTTGATACTGTATAAATGCATAAATTTGATTTTTTTTTGCCTTTTCCGATGGTATGCATTTAGACAGTATCGACTGTAGTTATGCAAGAGATATATAAAGTATACAAAAGTTATATAATATAGATTTTTAAAAAATAATTATTTGAAATGAAGCAACAAATTTATATTTTTATACTCTTTGATAACCAAAATTACATTTTTAATAATTTATAATAAAAATATTAAAAATATAGTTTTGGTATATAATACTTTTAAAAAATTTAATTTATATATATATATATAACAAAACTTTTTAGAGGCTAAAGCAAGCTTTAAACTTATACTGGTTTCTAGTTGCTAAAGTGTAAAGTAACAGACTTTTATTTTCTATGTATTGTAACACAAAATTATATTTTTAATATATGTGGTTTCAAAATAGTTATCGTATTTTTCCAATATGTGTACCCTCCATGTGCTATACCCTGTAGCAATTTAGAATATCAAATTTTGATTTATACCTAGATATTAGTTATGGTACCTCTCTGACTCATTACTCTTCTATAAGTCATATTCTGTTTTAAGCATTTTTCCAAATAACAAAATTTTAACTAATCAAATTTAAAGATCTGAGATATTATACAAACTTTTATAATAGATTTTTTCTTGTTATTTTTTGTACATTATTACATAAGTACAACAATCTCAAATTAAAACCATAATTGCACAATAACATTAATATTGGATCATGCGATAATAAATATTATAAAATTTGTTCTGCTAAAACAAATAGTTTGTTAAGATATACTGCTATACGGCACATGTCAGCCAACTATTTGCCCTGACAAAACAAATTTCATGATATTAATCATTGCATAACTAATATCTTATAAATATAGATTAGAGATGTATTACCAAATAGATTAGAAATACAAAAGCTTTTTTCACACAAATACCTTTTTTTCATCTTTAGCTATACCAATCTATTTTGATATAAGACTCAAATATTGAATATCAACTCAAATTGTTATCTCAGCAGATCTTAAATATCACTAAAGTGCCTCTTTTCATCCTTATTGTGTTTATGCTATTTTCATTGCAGATCAATATTAGGCTGCTATATTAGATTGTTATCTTGAATACCATCTGAATGCCTTTTTTTTTCATCATAATTTGTGCGTATACTATTTTTATTGAAAGATCAAAATAGACTACCTTATCAGAATTGTTGCCTTTTAGTAGGTTTCAAATATTATTCAATTGCTTTTTTTATTCTTAATCTTCAGTTTGCAATTTCATTGCAGAATCCAAGATTGGGCTATCTATTAAGATTGTCACCTTCAGCAGGTTTGAATACTACTTGAATGTCTTTTTTTAAGTCCCTTTCATTGAAAGTTTAAGATAGACTATCTTATCAGAATTGCCATCTTTTAGCAAGTTTTAATTATTACTTAATTGCTTTTAACTATACCATTTTTATTGTAGAATCTAATATTAAGCTGCCTGGTGGAATTATTATCTTTAGCAGGTTTGAATACCACTCAAGTGCCTTTTTTTTGTCTTTAGCTGTAATTATACTGTTTTCATTGCAAAATCCAAGACTAGATATATGTTTTAATCCTTAATTGCAATATATTAATAAATTGCCATATGTAAAATAATTAATAGCAGCATTGATAAACAAAGTGATGATTGAACAATGTTGCAATGTAAGATAAAATAAGTTAGCTACCTCTTTATAATCCTCACCCTCAATATTACTACCATTAATTACTTCAGAATTTTTATCATTTTTATCTGTCGGATTTTCATTCAACAACTTATAATCGAAAACCTAATTGTTTTCTGTTCCATCTATTTTGACCAAAACACCACAACACTTAAATGACTTTACTATTAACTGGGAATCAACCTTCTCCCATGAATCTCTTACCCATTATGCAAGAGTAGTATATAATAGCTTTCTAAAATGTCTAGCAGGTATTAACTACAATAAATATCCACTCATTATAATGGTAATGTATCTAAAAATTTAATTGCTGATCCGCATGTGATTGATAGAAATTAGATAGTAAATTACGGTGCTATATTTATTAATAAAAAAAATTTTATTTGAAATCTCTATTTCCTTAAACATTGAAATGACAAATATTCATATAATACCAGGCGAACTTACTACAACAGGTACTATTGAACCAGAACTTCATTATGGTCCATATTTGCATGATTGATAAATTTTTTTTGAAGAAAATCAAGAATATATATCATATCCAATTCCAATATGCTTAGAACTTGAGGTTTTAATATAGCTAAACAAAAAACCTTTTATTATTCGTGTGGTTTGTTATATACATAGTTGTTTACAACCCGGTTTCATATGTGAAGGAAGTGGACAAAGTAGTAGTATCATGACAAGTTTCTCTGCAGCAATTACTTCAGTTTATCAAACTGTTTTTGATACAAAGACAAAAATCGCCAAACTTTCATATTTAGATTTAGAACAACCTAAAACATTTCAAAAATTACTAAAAGATGTTACATTTCATCTTTTTATTGTTAAAATAAAAAATTTATCTATTTTTGTTAGTTCTCTTGGTAAAATTACATGTTCAAATCATAATGTAGTTGGTCACAATTATACATCATCATTTTTTTATAAATACAAAACCAAGCAATTAGTTTTTTTTCAAAATGCTAATAAAGACAATTCATATTCTATTGTAATTTATCAAAGTAGTGAAATTATTGCCGAATATAAGGATAGCTCCCCAAATAATGTTTAGAAACAAACTGGAGTTCTAAGATTTATCTTGGGTGATTCTTTATTCACTATAAACCACCCTATAACTTTACAAAACTTGGATAAAGCATATAAAACTAGATTTTTTCATCAACAACTAATACCAGACAAATGTACACTTACAAATTGGGATAACAGAATAATTATGGAACATTTATTTGACCTACATTTAAAAAAAGCTGTTAGTAAATCTCCTGAAGAATAGTATCAAGTTTTTCAAAATTGGAAACAACAAAAAAATAACATCATCGAATTATATACTCATCTTAGTAAAATATATAGATCAAATTATGAGTTTCAGGAACGTGAAGTGCGAGTATGGCGTGCAATATTCTGTGCAACTGGATGCACAGAGATTATACCATATGATAAACAATTTTTTAAAGTAATTATAAGAAATCAAAATTTTATATAATATATATAGCCCACAAAGTAAATAACAACTATATTTACTATACTTGCTGGCAAATTACAATCCTCATAGCTCTTACTCAAAACAATAATTAAAACTGAATTCCAATTTCGATCATATTAAATTACCCCAAAACTATTCTCAAATTCCGATTTAAAATAATTTAGAATCGTCCCAACCTAATGCCAAAACCCCAAATCTTACAACTATTATCATTATTTCTGAAATACTTGAAAAATTTCGGATGACCAAATCGATAAGTTACTGAGTCAGAATAAATAAGTTATTAAAATTACAAACATCAAAAAATTATCGATTCAGCAATTTTTCAAGTGTCTTAGGTAGGGTTGTTACAGCTGTTTTTATAAATTCTAGAAAATCTGACAAAAATTGATCAACTGAATACTGCCGGTTCGATAAGATTTTGATTCTCAGTGATAAACTTCTGATTCAGGTGTGATTACTGTAGTGAATCAAAACTTATCGAATCAGCAAATATTCGGTCAGTCAATTTTTGCCAGATTTTTCAGAATTTATAAAAACAGCTATAATAGAGTGACATACTTCGGGCAGCTCCGAAGCATGCCCAACCCAAGTTGGAGTGGGTTAAAAATATGCTGGAGTAAAATTGGAGTAATCTGTAGCAGCTATAAGCAAAACTGGAGTGGCTCCAGAGTAAACCCAACACAGGTTGGAGTAGGTTGAGGAATAGCTCAACCCGACCTACTCCAACTCAACCTATTAACAACTCTAGTATCAGGAATAATGATAATAGCCATAAATTCAGATTTCAAGTTTAGGAATTATGCTAACAAGTATACAAATTGTCTATAGACTAACTCATATAGATAAACAACCTGATGAGTTATTTGAGTCTTGGGTTAAAATTTTGGTATATTATGTTAGTAGGTTATTTACTATTGACTGAAATTAAAAAATCAAAAAACATGAATTTTTTAATTCTTACTAGTAAATACCTATCTAATCCGGAATATTAGCCTAGATTTTTTTTTTTTTTTTTTTGACCCTTGATATGGTCGCCGCGAAATGCTCCATAGTCTATAGCATATATAACCTAGCTTTAGTATATGAGTGATAGCAAAAGAAGGCATGTAAATCGATTCAAAAATTTTCATACAAAATTCATATTCTGGAAAAAAGGCAAAAAAAGATTATGTAAGTACTACCAAGAAAAAACAAGACTTTGAACTTTTAAGTTTATTATTTTACTATACTTGGCCTTTGAAAAATTTGCTTAATAATATGTAATACGTAATTGATCTAGTATCATCAATTTGCTAAATATTAGTAAAGCAACGGATCTCTTGTAGTATGAGTGACACCTATTCTAAATCAATTGATTAATAATACATTTTATTAGTAGTGTCACCTATACTGCAAGAGATCCAATTAATAAACTTGATTCAAAATTCAATTCGTCCTTGGTATTATGTGGCATAATTATGATAAAGGTTGTTACCAAAAAGATTAGAGTCAAACTCTAAAGGGTAAAAAAATCTACTATTCAAATCTACAGGTTTTTTTTTCTATCACTCAAATAGTAAATTATTATATAGGTAGTTATTCTACATTTTCAATTTTCATATCTTGTGGAAATAGCTATTATATATTGCATTAAAAATTTTTTTGTTCATTAATAATAAATTGAAAATCAATAAACTAAAGTAAATCAATATATATAGAATGAATTTTGAACAAACGCACCTAATCCTGAAAAGAATTATAATACGATTAAGAATTTATATGAAGAAGGCATACTGAATATATCATTACAAACCTTGACTACTAAAACATTTTGGAACTGCTTTCATGATAGTTATGATGCGAATTTTAGAGAAACAGACAGTAAAGTATGTATATTATCAATAATTGCAGAAAGGTTCACATATCAAGAAATAATAAATGAATTAAAAGTAAGGAAGCTTAATTATTGTTTAAATATAAAATACAATAATACTAATCAAACATAACTTAGGTTTCTTCCAATACTATTAATACGGCATAAAAATTTTCTTGTATCAATGAGCCCGGATGTGTTGTATTAGAAAAACCTACAATTATTTGTTCAAAAATATCAGAGGTCAAAGAAAGAGAATTTGAGTTATTTTTTAATGATAAGGATAATGTAATTATGAGTTTATATAAATTCGATGAAAGAGCACAATTACCTGTTCTCTATTTGAAAGATCAAAAAAAAGAACTTTGGGAAAAGTTTTCAGCTATTTATCCTGATGGAATGAAGCGTACTTCATTTATGATATGTCTACAAAATAGTCGATTTCAGTATCAAGAGGATTTGGATGGTTTATGCATAACATGTAATGATTATGGATACCAACCTTTCGAAATTTTAATCGATATAATTAATAAAATGTTCCTAATAAAATATTGCAGGTTAGTTAATTAAGCTGTACAAACTTAATATATTGGTCATCATAACTTGATCAGAAACAAAAGTTTAAGAAATTTTTTCTTATATATAAAACCTGGGTTGCTAGACTATTTTTTAAAGTTTTACATTATGAAAACCAAACTATTAATTTTACATGGCTTTATAAATAAAGCTTACTGACTTTCTATCCGAATAATATTCAAATTAATATCAATTCAAATATTTGCCGAATGCGAATATTATTCGAATACGAATATGAATACATAGGTTTCAATTATAAAAAAATCTAGAATCTTATTAATATGAAATTCTTTGTAGAATCACTTGGTTCATGAAATAGAATTATTACGCCTTCACCTAAAATGATATTATGAAAATGAATTAGATGTAAATAAGAATGGTACTGCTAATCACACAAACTGTATCAATCATTGTTTATTATTTGCCTTTGGCAAATATAAATATCAACATTTTTTATGGTGTCAAGAATGTGATAGATTTTTTAACCTATTCAAAGATCTTTTAAAAAAAATTGATAAAACCCACCATGATAAACTCTTAGAATGCCAACAGCAATTGAC